TGCCATTTGACAGGTAATTGTTGTAAAATTTACATAAGTACTGGAAAATGTGCCACGCCCACTTACTCCCCTTTTTATAGGGTGTCAAAGTGAAAAAATATTTTTTTTTAATGAAGGCAATTTTTTAAAAATATTTTTTATTTAATTTTTTATCTTTATTTTTATGTATTTGCTCAGATAAAAATAATTTGAAAACTGAAAAAAAAAATTGTTTTTTATTTCAAAGTGTAACCGCCACGCGCTACAGTTAGTATATTTTTTGGTTAGTATGAAGCTGAGTCGGTATTTTGGTATATTTAACCCCGAGTAGTTTTGGTTTATGCTGTTGCATTTCCGGGACGCAGCAGATGTAAGTTGATTTTGGTCCAGAATAGATCCACAAAGGTCGTAGTTATAGTGTGTATAGTGGCTCAGCCCATCCAAAAAAGATATAGACTACTTTAGCCAGAAAAAAGTGAAAAAAATGGACACCTGGCAGGTAGCGATTTACCTGTGCAAGCCCTAACCCAATTCCCCATTTTTTTGGATTGGGTGACAGTTTATGAATGTGTCTATTATTTAAAGCAAAAATCATGGCGATAGGTAATATAGTTTTTGTGTAATATTACCTGAAAGTCAACAAATTTTCCCTTTTTTTTTTCTTATGATGCATAAATGGAAACAACGTTCAACTTTGAATGCTCATATCTTCTACAAAAAAAAATCCGAAAATTGATTTTACAGCAGATTCTGAATTCATCGGAAATTTCCTGTCGAATAAGTATGGTTAAAATCGTTTTTGCGACAACGACTTTTTCGATTTTTGCAACGGCTTTTGTTCGAGAGGCGTTACTGTGCGTCGGTGCATGTATAAAAAAAATAAAACAAAAACAATTTGCATGGGCTTCGTTTAAATTGATGGCAGCCTAGGACATGCCCATGTTGAATTCATCAACAGTTTGTGTGGTAGATCATCGATGAATCATCAACAACATCCTTCGGCTATTGATGAAACGTAGATGAATGGTACTGCAGGGATGTTTGTGCAAATACACATACTTATGTATTAAACCTGGACTACGCGATGTTACCTCGTCATCTCCCTCCATTAGGGTTGTCGAAATATTTAAAAATATCGTATCGATGATATTTTTTTTTTGAAAAAAATATCAAAATAATATTTGATATATCAAAAAAAAAATCGATATATCAAATATTTTTGATATTTTTGTTTTATTATTATTTTTTTTAATTTCAATAACCACTAAACATTAACTCACATACGATCTTAAATTATATTTTTCGATTTTTATTTTATATTTATTAATAAATGAAAGAAAACAATATTTATTTTTACTTTCTTTTGCTTTTATTTATATTAAAATCAAATCAGAACAAAAATTTATCTTATATGAAAGATAATAAAAACATGCTTAAATAATAATAAAGCAAACGTTTTCATTATACCCTTGCAGGGTATTATAATTTCATTCAGAAGTTTTGCAACGCAAGGAAGGAGACCTTTCCGAGCCTATAAAGTATATACATATATTCTTGATCAGCATCAACAGCCGAGTCGATCGAGCCATGTCCGTCTGTCCGTTTCTACGCAAACTAGTCCCTCAGTTTAAAAGCTATCTGAATGAAACTCCGCATAAAGTCTTCTATATACTCGAAACGGGCCGGATCGGACGACTATATCATATAGCTGCCATACAAATGTTCGCTACATTTTTAGAAAAAAAAATTCTAACTTGACTGTTTTTCAACATTTTTGCATCATTTTTGAAATATGGCCATTTTATATTTCAGAATTTTGGTATGTTTTATGAAAACAACTTCGTTGTTTTTCAACGTTTTTTCATCTACTCTGAGATATAGGCTTATTTTATTATTTCAGAATTTTGGTATACATTTTATGAAAATCGGACAACTGCCATATATCTGCCATAGAAACGATCAATAGACGTAGAGAAAATGTAAAGCTGGGAATGAAAAACTGTAACTGTAAAACTGTAAACATAATAGGAATAGGTAACATGTAATGAACTAATATCTGCAAGAGTTTACAAACTTCGTGGTGCCGAAGTTAGCTTCCTTTCTTGTTTTAGGTTTAGTTTCATTTTTTCCGCCGAACTAAGGCTTTAACAGTATCTTATATGAAAGATAACAAATACATGTTTTCTTTCCTTGTCCCGATAAAAAGTGTAACCGCCTTAAATATCAAAAAATATCTCAAAAAAATATCGATAAAATATGATAATTTTTCAAAAAAAATATCACGATAAAAATATTTATTTTTTTCGCAAAAAATATCGATATATTGATATTTTGATATATTTTCGACATCCCTACCCTCCATCAAGTGGTCACAAGTAGGGTTGTCAAAAATTTTAAAAAAATATCGTATCGATGATAGTTTTTTTTATCAAAAATTATGATGATAATATTTAAAATATCACTGCAAAATATCAATATATATGATATATTTTTTTTTTGTTTATAGGGTCTTCCCACACACCGTCAAATAGAGCTGTAAAAACATCGATACTTTCGATATTGATATTTCAAAACATCGATATATCGCGATATATCGTTTTTTTTAGGTAATACCAAAAAAAAACCATAAAAGGTTTGTTTTTTTTTTTATTTTTTGTATATTCCAAGAATATACTTTTATTTTTACATAAATTGAAGCGATATGGGAGATCAATATTATATTATTATATATCACATATTATAATTTTTGTTAATAAAGAGGAGCTTATCAACTATTTTTGGTTTAAGACAGCTCCTTCTATCGCACAATATTTATCCAGCCTTACTAAAAGTCCTCTCCGATTCACACGAGAAGCTTGAACGCTTAATTAACGTTTAGCAAGTTTTTGTAAATCTGCCATACTTTCATTCTGCATCTAAATATATTTTTTTTATTAACGTCTAGTTAATTAAAATTGCAAAACACTTACTTTCCAATATGGAAGAGGTTCCTTATCTTCCGAAAGGTTTTGGCGCTCGTTATATTGCCTTAAAAGCAAAATTGCGTCAACTCGACTTGATCGAATTTTAAAGTCTGACTTATTTTGTAGAAATGAATATTTCATTTTTTTGTTGATGGTGGTTCAACTGGTGGAGCTGGATGATCTTTTATTTTTTTTATTTTGCACAAAACACAGCATACTTCATTTTCTAAAGCTATGGCTATGACCCGATATATCGATACTCCAAAATATAAATCGATACTAACGCAAAAAATAGAAACATCGATATATCGATATTACTATCGATGCTTTTACAGCTCTAACGTCAAAGCGCATCTACCGTCCGTTGAACAAACGGTCCATAAGGTTTTGCCGTTCCAAATTTTCTCAATTGGACCTGCATCAAAACGCATCAAAATGTAACGACCGTTTGTTTGGCGATAGTTAGGCGATAGTTTTTCGGTGCAACTCTGAAAATATGACCATCACTACGAAAGTGTATACACACTTGGCGAGAAACAAATGAGATTTGGAATTTAAAATGTGGCGCCAAAGCTACAAGCATGCCCAAAATAGTTCTTGGCGTTTTTTCTGTATATTCTTGCCCCAATATGTCCCCAATTGTTACTATTTAATATAAACCGCCTGCCTCTACCTTATTTTGAAGATTTTGGATGCCTATACCACCTATAGACACTCTTCGGGGAATTTGCTCTTTGTTAGAGAAAAATCATTAGAAAAACTAAAATTCCTTGTCATTTAATTCATTTAAATTTAGTGTGGATAAATTCTGACGCAATCTGTACCTTTTCCTGTTGTACAACAGCCAAAATAGTTGGTAAATGTTCCATTTCAAATTTGCAACTGCCAATTCGACAGTCTTTGTTTACGTTTTCATGAGCCACAGCTGATCGATCAGCTGTTCGGATGCCACTTCGACGCTCTGTGGGAACACGAGTTTCGCATCTGCGAAAAATCCCAAACGTTCCTCACAGATGCGCTGTGTGGGAAGACCGTATTAATAAAAATTTTTTTTATGCTATCCTCTTAACTGTTGAATCTCTGAATCGTTGAAAAATTGTCAGTTGTTGAACCGCTGTACCATATATATTCAACTTTCTGAAGTTTCAACGAAACATTTTGTTGAATCGCTGAAAACCAGGGTTCTATTTTTCTGATAAAAGTGAGAGGCAACTCAGAGTTTTGTTAAAAAAGCCGATTGAATCAGTCAATATATGCAAATATATATAACTTTGTTATATTAATATAATTCGATTTTTAATTCATATTGTTTATTGTTATCATTTTTTACATAAATTCAGAAGTTCAATCTATGTACATATGTACGTTGCTTTGAAATTTAGTGACCAAGGAAAAAATATCAAATAAAAGTATCGCGAGATATTTGGACAAAAAAAATATCACGATATAAGTATATAATTTTTAGAAAAAATATCGATATATTATCAACAACTCTAGGCTCAAGCCGGCGTGCCGGTTCCTGAACATATTGATATACATACAAGTGTTACAACTTACATACATACATACATACGATATTTTTATTTGATATTACCATATGTAGACAATCTGCTACAGTAGAGCCTTGTTTAAAATATTGCAATTTCCTGATATTTTAGTTAAAGAGGCATGTAAATAAACATATAACGTATAAACATAAAAATTGATATTCATGTACATTACTATGTACATATGAATGTATGTATCTTTGAGTATACGACTGAAACTGTAAAAAAACTTGTTCTTCAAGCTTATTTACATATGTATGTACATTATATGCCATACAAATACAATGCAAATACGTATTCATCGAAGAGGCTGATTAAATGCAAGCACACAAGGGTTCTTATACATATGTACATATGAATGTATGTACATAGCAACACAAATGCGTTACAAAGGTAAACAACTGAAAATGCCAAAACACAATAAAATGTCGTTGGAGCCAATTGCAATGCAACCAAGTCTTACGAACATATGTACATATGTATGTACATTTTAATATAGTCGGTCACTTACAATATTATTATTCAACTATAAAATCTAAAGTCAATAGCAGCAAATAGTTTAATTGACTTGACTTAGTTGGTTATTTGAATAAGCACGCTCTATTAAGTTTGGAAACTAACTACACACTATTAATGCAAACTTAAGGGAGCGTTTCCGCTAGTCTTGTAATAGGTTATTCACATTGTTATCATTGAGAAATATTTTTTTTAAACTTGTGTACATATGTCAAAATTTGTATAGTTATTAATTCTCAATTTTAATTATTTCGCTATTCATTTTTTTTATTTATTCTCAAAATGTATCTATTAGATTATTTTAAATTATTTTTATTTAATATATATATTGTCACTGTGTTTTATTTATTACTCCATATTTAAACGCTTCAAAATTGTCAGTGGAACCTTATTATTTTTTTTTTTTATTTTATGAGTCAAAAAGTCCCCAACGAAATGAAACTGGTATGAAAGAATTCGTTAGTTGTCTGTGAAAAATTGATTGTCATCATTTTCTTTGTTGTTCTGAGTTAAATAACGATTTCAGAAAAAACGGGTTTATATTGTTATTGTAAATTGAAAACCTAAAAAAAATAAACAAGAGAGGAACCTAATTTTGGCACGCCAAAGTTTGTATATTCTTGCAGTTTGCATATATAATAATTTGGTTTTAATAATATTTAAAATTGTTCACGCCAGAAGGGCGCAAGTTTATGAGCGGCAAAGAGCGCTTGTGATCAAGCTTTTGCTCCCGCTCGCTGGCTCCTCTTTTCTTCTCGTCTCCCTCTCTATTGCTACTCTCCAGCCACACCACTCTGCTGTCCCTGCAGCCATTTCTATGTAGATATAAGCACTAACCATACAACATATAGACTGGTCATTTCATACAACGAAAATGGACACAAAAATTTCTTATCGAGCAATCCCATGTTAACTGTTTGCTGTTAGCGACTGTTAGATTTTAGCTGTTAGCGACCCGTCCCATGTTAGCTGTCAGCTGTTAGCGTCAGGCCTTTACATGTATGCGTGTTCATGCATTCACGTACACGGGTGCATGTGTGCGACCATTTTATTTCGGGCCAGCAAGAATGTTTGGTCTTTTGCTACTTTTCGCGCTAGGTACCCTAACAATATGGGCATATTCGCTATTGGGTTAATGATACAAATAAGAGTGTTATATGTTATAATATTTCTTAATGTTTCAGCATTCATTTCATATTTGTTTACAATTCAATTCAGTGGCAGCATTGAAATGTGTTGCATGTATGTGCATATGTATTCGAAAGTCTTTTGGAGACCAACTGAATAGCGGAAAGATGGTTCCAATAAATAGGAAGTTCTGACAATGGAGGAATGCAGGAACATGTAACAAAAATGGAACTACCATTAACTGATAGCTTCACGCAAAGGAATTCAACATTGTTGGATTCCTCGAAAGTTATTAATTCGGACGTGAGAGTGGAGTCGACCGCTATGAGGACACCTCCCCCACGTCTGATAGGCCGGTCTAGCCGGTAAAAATTTTCCGAAAATCGGACGACTATATGATATAGGTGCCATAGGAACGATCAGGAAATTATTGGGAAAAAAATTATTGCTTCCTTGTTTTTCAACGTTTTTTCATCTACTCCGGGATATAAGCTTATTTTATTATTCTAGAATTTTGGTATAAATATTATAAAAATCGGACAACTATATCTTATAGCTGCCATAGGAACGATAGGGCAAGTAATAGAAAAAATTATAACTTCGTTGTTTTTCAACGTATTTTAATCTAAATTGAGACATGAGCTTCTGGTATTATTTCAGAATTTTGGTATACATTTTATGGAAATCGGACGACTATATCTTATAGCTGCCATAGCAACGATAGGCAAAGTAATAGAAAAAATTATAACTTCGTTGTTTTTCAACGTATTTTCATCTACTTTGAGACATGAGCTTTTAGTATTATTTCAGAATTTTGGTAACAATATTATGAAAATCGGACAACTATATCATATAGCTGCCATATAAACAATCGCAAGATGTAGAGAAAATGTAAAGCTGGGAATGCAAAACTGTAACTGTCAAACTGTAAACATAATAAGTATAGGTAAAATGTAATGAAATAATATCTGCAAGGGTATACAAACTTCGGCGTGCCGAAGTTAGCTTTCTTTCTTGTTTTATTATACATTCATTATTTTGCATGCGTTTTTATTTATTTATATATTACTATATATATTATATTTATATTATATTACAGAGTGGTTGTTAAGGGAATCCATGCTAATGTTCCTAGTCCTCAGATTGAGAAAGCTTTTAGTGATCTTGGCTTTGAAGTCCTTAACATATATTGTCCGAAAAAGCCAGACTGGAAGAGTATTAAAGTTAACGAGGATGATAATGAAACTACTATTAATTTCAAGACAAGGCAAAATATTTTTTTTTGTCAATCTCAAGCAGCTCCGAACGTTTCAAAGTCTCTAAAAATTACAAAGCTGGGTTGTTACAGAGTTACAGTTGAGCGTGCTGCTCGTAGAAAAGAGTTGCTACAGTGCCAAAGATGTCAATTATTTGGACACTCTAAGAACTATTGCGTCCAGGATCCTATTTGTGGTAAATATAGTGGTCCTCATATGACTGGATCTGCCTTATGCACTAGTAACGTAAGTTTATGTATTAACTGCGGTGGCGACCATGTTTCGTTTGACAAAAGCTGCCCTGTCAGACTGGAAAAAATGAAGATCCTTAAACCAATACCCAGGCTTCTGTTGACTAGTTTTCTTGTCTCAAGAAAACAGGCTCATAGTTCTCCACGAGAATTTATTTCAGCTGAGGCGTTAAGAACTAATATTTCTTATGCAGATATTGCTCGTTCTAACACTCTTTATAGCAGGGCACGTGATACTGTTGGTATATCAACATCGGATCAATGCCTTAATAACAAATTCTTGGCGCTGGACGACTCCATTCGGGCCATTAATAACAGAATGGACCAACTTTTCAAGCTTGTACAAGAAACCGTAGAAGCCAACAAAGCATTTAGAGAACTTGTTCAGGTTCTTATTTCACGTATTCCGAAATGACCTTATCAAGCTTAAAAATCGGATTGTGGAATGCTCGTGGTTTAATGAGAGGCTCTGAGGAGCTTCGAATATTCCTCGGTATTTATGATATAGACATAATGCTAGTCACTGAAACACTTATGCGTGTGGAAAGGCGCATTTTCCTTCCTGGATATCTCACATATTTTGCCATTCACCCCAGTGGCAACAACAGAGGTGGCTCTGCAATCATCATTAAATCTAGTTTAAGTCATAGTCCTCTGCCTCCTACCTCTAGCAATGATAGACAGATAGCGAGTGTGCTTCTGCACACTTCTGATGGAACAGTCACTGTAGCTGCTATATATCTTCTACCAGCAGAAAGTTGGACGCAATCTAGCTTTATATCCATGTTCGCCACCTTGGGTAATAAATTTATTGCTGGTGGCGATTTTAATGCCAAGCATGCATGGTGGGGCAACTCAAGAGCCTGTACTAGAGGTAAACGCTTGCAAGAAGTCATCGCAAATGGGCATTACCAGGTTCTGGCTACGGGCGAACCTACGTTCTACTCCTACAATTCCCTATTAATTCCATCAGATCTTGACTTTTTCGTTACCAATGGATTTGCTTCAGGCAGACTTCACGTACGTACTCTACATGAACTCTCGTCGGATCATGTACCTATCTTGGCTGAACTGTACTCCACGCCGTTGTGGAAACTTCATCGCCCACGACTACTTTCCCATAATGCTAACATCAACATTTTTAAATCCCATCTTGAACAGCTGTAAATTTAGAAATTCTGGAGGAGGTGGATATTGATAATGCAATCAGTCTTTGTATGACGAAATTATCTGAGGCTGCTCAGCTTGCTGCCCCCAGAAATCGACATGAAGTAGTGGGCCCTAGACCTCCCCAACTTCCTCCCAGAATTTTAGCACTGCTTAGACTTAAGCGAAGAGTTCGTAGTGAATATGCTAGAACAGGAGATCCTCATATACAACAGAAGACTTGCCAATCGCTTGCATAAGGTTCTTGCTCGTAGAAAACAGACTCAAATGGACAACGTTTTGGAAGACCTGGGTCCTGACATGAGTGCAAATTACTCGCTTTGGCGTGTCACGAAACGATTCAATACTCAGTCCTAGTGCGTGAGACGTGTTTTTGAGCTGCAAAGTTCATTTATATGGTGTCACGCGTAACCAGCTCAAAATAATGAGCGGCGATCAAAAGAATGAGCGTAGAACCTCTGTAAACCAATGAAACGGCTGTTTCACTTTTTTCTCAACTCGCGATATCGAAGCAGAAAAAACGAATGAGCGTAGAACCTCTGTAAACCAATGAAACGGCTGTTTCACTTTTTTCTCAACTCGCGATATCGAAGCAGAAAGCCCAACCCGGCTCTACTGACCGCCGACGGCACGAGAGCGCGCTCTTGCTCACCCGCCCTACTCATTCCAGCTCCTACATCTTGGAGCTCCCAATGCCAAACCCCACCACCACCGGTTTCGATGGAAGACGCACCAACAACAAGCAGAGCTGCAATTTCTGCAAACGTAGCAAAAGCAACAGCAACAACTAAATCAACGACCAATATTGTGAAATCGGTGCCAACGGCCGCATCGCCAAATTCAATGGTAACAAAAACCGTGAACTCCGAAAAGCAACAAGCGGTTCCGGCCATACAGACTGGCATGGATCGCTACATCCAAATTAAGCGTAAGCTTAGCCCACATAACACGGTTGGTAACAAGCCTAAGATCAACCGTGTCACCAAAAGCTATGACCCAAACAACTCCAACAAATTTTCTCCGCTAGCAGCTGATGAGAATAACCAAGCAGAAGACCCAAAAACAGCCAAAGCCCCCACCCATTTATATTAGGGAGAAAAGCTCAAACGCCCTGGTCAACAAAATCGTTGCGCTGGTCGGGGACGGAAGGTTTCATGTTGTTCCGCTTATTAAAGGGAACATTTGCGAAACAAAAATCCAAACCAAAACAGAAGAACACTTCCGGGCTGTGTCTAAATACCTGGAAGAATCCAAAAAGAATTTTTACACCTACCAACTAAAAAGC